TGCCCATCAACTGATGAATGGATAAAGAAAATGTGAGTTTTTCATACAGTGGAGTACTACTCTGCCATAAAAAAGAATGAACTTCAGACATTTATAGCTAAATGGATGCACCTTGAGACCATACTTTTAAGTGAGATAAATCAGACACACATGTTTAAATACTGCATTGTTTCTCTGGTGTGAGAAATTGAAAGTGAAAATAAGGTCCAAAATGTATAATAGTTACTGTAAACTAGGAAGAAAATCTTCAAATGGTAAGGGGAACAGGGAGGGGGGAAGGGGAAAGGAAGAAAAGGACAAGAAAAAAAAGAGAATATTAGAAAAAAAGCTTTTGTAATGGGGGGAGGGGTTGAAGGGAGGGAAGGAGAATGAGGAAAAAAAAGCAAGATATGTGATGTACAGGTACAAATTCCCTCTGATGAATGTTATCATTGTGTATATCTAAAATGTACCAATGTTTTACTTTTTAAAAAATGTGGTTTTTAGGTATTCAGGAAAAAAAAGAGGGAGATTTGTCAGGCAGGGATAAACCCTATTGTTTCTCCCTCAGGAGGCTGCCTGGCATGGATGGTTCCAGGCACTCAGTTCATCTGGATGAAGTGGCTCAGGGTGGTGACTGAGAGACAGAGCAGACCTTTCCTTCAGTTCCTGGCAGAAAACTGGCAGGGCAAACCCTGATTGTAACCAGGCCTGGCCTAGCACGCCCCAAGGGCCAGTGAAGGTCAGCTGGGCCTGAATCTGGGCTCCAGGGACCGAAGGCTAGAGACATGTTTTCTCATCAGATGGTTACAGGTCCCAGGAGGCCAGTGTCCAAATAGGAAAGATAAAAATAGTCAGAGGGAGGCTCCTGAACCAGATCTCCAGATTCTGAACTGTCTCTGTCTCCTCCTTCTTCTGTCCCTGGTCTGAGCTTCAAATACCATCTGACCTTCTATTGCCACCGCCACTCCTCTCCACATCTGGACACAGCCTCCTCAGTTCACTCTACCCTGGGCTGCATCAGATCAACCCTCCTAAAAAACATTCAAGCTCCTAAGTGGGAACCTTGTTGAAAATGAAGTCTCCTGGGTTGGGAGGTGAAGCTCAGTGGTAGAGCACTTGCTCAGCATGTCTGAGGCCCTGGAGCCCTGGGCTGGACCCAGTACAGGGGAAGGGAGGAACTCCTGGGTCAAATCCTGGAAATTATGTTAGGAGACCTGGAGGGGTCCCAGAAATCTGTAGCAATTCTAGCATCCTCTAGAAGTACAAGTACCCCCTAAAAAACAAAAGCCTGGAGGAATGAGCTTCCCCCTGAATCTCAAAGGCAGCCTTGGCTGAGGACAGTTGGGTTGAAGACAGGAATTCCAAGTAGACACGGTCCTGGATTCATGCCTCAGTCAGAAATCAGTCTGATCTGATTATGAATAACCTTAGCTCACTGAAATGTAACCTCACCTGGATGCAATGCACAATTTATAGAGTCAACAAAATTGTTTTCTTACTGTATAAGGGTCTCCTTATAGTCCAGAAAAGTTTAGAATTAGAAACAGAGATGGAAAGTTTAGTAATCCTGAGTTTAGTAATAATCAGTATATTCTTGAAATCTGAAGTATGTGTAACTTTGAAAATAATTTGATTTGCCAAATATCTGACAAATAAGTATTACGATTCTAAGATAATAAATATAGTTAGATAACGGGTAAAATATCTCTGTAATTGACAATAGATTTATGAGTTTAGACTGACAGGTTAGTAATGATTGGAAACACTGCTACATATTAGAATCACCTGTAGAACTATAACTATTTCTAACGGGGGGCCCACCCTTAAAATCTTCCCCCTGTAATATTCTGATTTCAAGTCAGAGGTGGAGTGTGTGTGTGTGTGTGTGTGTGTGTGTGTGAGAGAGAGAGAGAGAGAGAGAGAGAGATCGAGACAGATCTGGTATCTGGTACCCGGGATCTAACTCCAGTCCTTGCGCTTTCGCAGCAGGCGGCAAAACCAGAGCTAAATCCCTGGCCCTGTGCTCTTAGGCATCTAAGCAAGTGCTATACCACTGAGCTACATCCCCAGCAGAAGCCTGCATTTTTTAAAACTCCTCAGCCAAGAGCCACTGACATAAGAGAATTTGACTACATCTGCAAAAAGTACTGAACTGTTTATAAGAACTTGAAATTCAGTATAAGTTTAATTAATTAGATTCTTCTAGTAACTAAGTATTCATGGGGAATTTGGGCTTGTTAGGTTATGCATCTAGAGTACTTAAAAAGAAAATCAAATATATTAAATTTATAAATAGAGTTAAAATGTTTAAGGAGGCCGGGGATTTAGCTCAGTGGTTTCGCTGCCTGCTGTGCAAGCTCAAGGACCTGAGTTCGATCCCTGGTACCAAAAAACCCAAAAAAAACCAAATAAAATGTTTAAGGAAATAAATTAGGCTGTAAAAAGGTCTACGTGTTTAAAGGAATTTAGTTTGTTCAACTTGAGTTCAAATATTAAAGCAAAAGTTAAGGTCATTTTTCTTACTTTCATAGATTCATGTATAGAATAATAATTTCAAGTTGAAATTGATAGCCTAAAGAAAATAAGGTTTTAAAAATTGTTACTCCAGGGCCAGAGATTTAGTTCTGTGGTTCCAATGCCTGCCTTGCAAGCCCAAGGTCCTGAGTTCGATCTCCGGTACAAAAAAAAATTGTTACTCCAAAATGAGAATTTTTTTTTTTTTGGTACCGGGGATCGAACTCGGGTCCTTGCGCTTGCACAGCAGGCAGTGAAACCACTGAGCTAAATCCTCGGCCCCAAAATGAGAATTTTAATTTAAAATATAAAAAATAGGCTGGGCATGGTGGTGCATGTCTGTGATTCCGGCACTAGGGAGGCCAGGGCAGAAGGATCACCAAGAGTTCGAAGCCAGCATGGGCTACATAGTGAGTTCAAGACCAGCCTAGACTACATAGCGAGACCCTGTCTCAAAAACAAAACAAGGCAAAATAGAAATAGAATAAGCCACACCTTTAACTCCTTGTGGTCTTTCCTATTCATCTCACTTAAAAGGATTTCTCTCCTGAACTTCTCACCAGCCAGATTAGATGGTTGCAGATTCCCTGCAGGCTCACAATTTCCTGCCCCAAAGAGTGACCAGGATGCTTTGCAAGTAGTAAATAACCACAGAAAGGACAACACAGCCTGAAATTAGAACATTTCACTTTTCTTTCTAGTCCCTTAGCTAGGCATTACTGTTGCTCTTTACAGTTGAATAAAAATAGGACTCAGAGGGTCTGGACCTGATCAAGGTCACATAGTCAGAGGTAGAGCCAGGCCTGGAGTCCAGTACCTGGTCTTGAGTGTCCTCCTTGCACTGATGATTCTTGTATTAGGCTCAGACCTCTCTTTTTAAACTCTAAAGCCATGTTCCCATTTGCCTTGGACATCTCCACTTCAGCTCAAACTGAACATGGCCAAAACAGAACTAAGATCATTCCTGTTGATTTTGCTGTTTAGCTCAAAATTTAAGATGTTCTTGATTCTCTGCAGCACACACTGCACACATCTGCCAACTTATCCTGCCTGCCCCACCTCCCCAAACACATCTCAAAACTGATCATTACTCTAATTCACATCCTAATCCAAATCATTGTCTTCTTTCAACTAATCCACCTCAATAACTTCCCCCTCTTCAGTCCATTCTCCAGAGAACAGCCAAAATGATGACATTAAAATGTAAATTACATCTTGTCACATCCCTGTTTAAAACCCTTCAGTGGCTTCCTAGGACAATTACGGGAAAAAAAAGACTCCTTGCCATGGGTTACAAGGTCAGACTGGAGCTGATTCCAGCCTACCTTTTCATAGTCCACTCTTTCCCTTAAACACCCCAGGAATGCAGCCACCTCAGGACCTTTACCCACAATTTCCTGTTTGACCCACTATTATAATCACTCAGGTCTTTAGCCAAGTGTTATCGTCTGAGCAGCCACCCAGGCTAAAACAGCACCACCAGCCAGGTGTGGTGGTGGTGCACACCTGTGATACTAGCACTTAGGAGGCTGAGGCAGGAGGACCGCCATGAGTTTGAGGCCAGCCTGGGCCACATAGTGAGTTCAAGGCCAGTTTGAATTACACAGTGAGACCCTGTCTCAAAAACAAAAAGAAAAAACAAAACAAAAAAAGCCCCCCCACCCCCAACAACAACAACAACAACAACTACAACAAAACAGCACCACCATGTCCTCTCCAAGCAGGCTGGCCTCGAACACAGCAATCCTCCTGCCTCAACCTCCCAAGTGCTGGGATTACAGGCATGTGCCATCACGCCCAGCTAGTCTTCTGTTCTCAAAACCACCACTTGTGTGTAGAAACACAGGATTCCCACGCTCCCATCTCCCCAGCCCCTTTTTAACTCATATACAGTAGGTAAGATAACTTCATGATCATCTTCACCGCTGGGGATCAAACAGGGACCACATTAGGCACATAAACATTTATTGAATGCCCTTTACTCGAACGCCTTCACTCTTCCTATTCTCAGAAGAAATGTGGGCCGGGCGTGGTGGCGCTAGCCTGTAATCCTAGCACTCCGTAGGCTGAGGCAGGAGGACTGCCATGAGTTCGAGGCCAGCCTGGGATACATAGTAAGTTCAAGGCCAGCCTGGTCTACAGCGAGACCCTACTTAAAAAACAAAATAGGAGGGCCGGGGATTTAGCTCAGTGGTTTCGCCGCCTGCTGCGCAAGCTCAAGGACCCGAGTTTGATCCCCAGTACCAAAAATAAATAAATAAATAAAACAAGAAGAAATGAGCGGCCCCAGGTGGCCTGTTTGCCAAGCCAGGGTTCTTGATTTCGAAGCCCAGAGGTGTGGGAAACAGGAAATATGGGCAGTACATCCCCGAGGACCCACTTTTGTCACCTCCAGGTCTGCACTCGGGGCAGGGAAAGGAGATGAGACAGGTGCTGGGGATCCGCCAGAAAGCCAGATACCCTTCCCCCTCCCATTCCCCAAACCAGGAAATGACAGGACGTACAAAATTAGAAGACAGAGCCCAAGCTTTCCGGTAAGGGGAAGCGGTAGAACTCGCCCCTAGACGTCCCGCCAAGGAAGCTACCTGGCTCCTCGGGGCTGGACGGCTGCAGAGTCCTCCTCTTGCGTCCTTGCGTCACGCACTGCTTGCTGGGATTCGTAGTTGGGTATCAGCCCAGCCTTCCCAGAAAGCTTTGGGAAGCTAAATTGAAACAGTGAGGGGAGCGGTGGGGAAACATGAGGCTTTCTAGGAGTTGTAGTTCAAGTAGTGAAAGCACTAAATCACTAAGAAGAAAAACTGGATAATAAAACTTACAACACTTAGGCTGTGAGGTTTTGAATCTTGTGGGATTTTTTTCCCCCTGCTGCTCAACCAGCCGTTATCTGAGGGGTTCAAAATGATGACCTCTGTGATCCAAAGAAACTACCAATCCCATAAGGCACTGCACGTAAATTTATTTGGAGAATGAGGTCGGCCTCGGTGTAGGCGTGGTGGCAGCAGTTCGGCAGTGAGGAAGCATGGCTGGCCCTACCATCGTTTCGAGCTTGTACTCCCTGCTGTTTCGCAGGACTTCCACCTTTGCCCTCACCATTGCCGTGGGAGCCGTGTTCTTCGAGCGCGCCTTTGACCAAGGCGCAGACGCGATCTATGAGCATGTCAACGACGGGGTGAGGGCCTGGGCCATCCTGACCTTGGGCTTTCTTAAGATGACGGAGTGGAAGTAGGTCGGGACTCGGTCTACCTTTGCCTGGAAGGGGGTAAAAACCGTGGGCGTCTTCTGTCTGGAGACTGCCATCTGTCCTCTCGACCTAGTGTGAATCTTAAAACTTTTTTTTTTTTTTTTAAAGCCATACTTTGCAGGGGGGTCATACTGTTATTTCCCACCTCACAACCCTGCTTTGTTCATTCGCAGAAGCGAAAACTAAAGCTTTTGAGAGCAAAGGACTTGTTAGGTCCGCACCACTAGTAAGTCAGTGACAAGTGAGGGTTAGAACCTTGTCTCCTCTGAGAATGTAAGGACAGATCTTAGCTGGCGACAGTCATGAAAAGGACATCTTCAGCACCGTGCTGACCTTTTAAAATTTCTCTTTTAAGCCTGGTGTGGTGGTACATGCCTGTAGTCCCAGCACTCGGGAGGCTGAGGCAGGATTGTCGCTAGTTTAAGGCCAGCATGGGCTACATTGTGAGTTCAACGCCAGCCTGAACTACATAGCGAGACCCTGTCTCAAAAAAACAAAAACAAAAAAGTTGCTCTTTCAGTTCTTAAGTCTACCCGCGCAGGCAGCTTTTGGGTTTTTTTGTTTTGAGACAGGGTCTTCTCTCTGTAATTTAGGCTGGCCATGAACTTGCTGTGTTGTAGCCCATGCTGCCCTTGAACTCAACAATCCTCCTGCTTTAGCCTCCCAAGTGCAAAGTGCTGGGATTACGGATCTGTGCCACCAGACCAGCTAGGCAGCTTGGTATTAATGGTTAGGGGCCTATGAAGTCAAAGGGCCCTGCCTGGCAATACTAGGCCTTGTTACTTAATAACCATGGCATTAAGTTAGCTATGTTTCTTCTCTGAGCTTCAGTTTTATCTGTAAATTAGAGACCATAATAGTAACTATCTCAGGGAATACAGGTAAGGTGCCACAATGCCTGGTAGATGATCCCACTGAAAAATAACATTCTCTACATTCCTTGGGAAAAAAATGGGAGCATAAAATAGGAATAGAAATACTTTTTAGACTTATTATGTACCGACAATTGCTAGCTGAACATACTTATGTCATTAGATTGTGGCCATACTGGAAAAGGCCTGGTACAGACAACCTAATAGCACTATGTACCGTATTTGTATTTTTTTTTTGGTACTGGGGATCGAACTCGGGACCTTGCACTTTCGAGGCAGGTATCGGAACCTCTGAGCTAGATCCCTAGCCTCACACTTGTGTTTTTAATTAGAGACTGTCTGACTTTACATCCCAGGAAAGCTCCATCTTGTAATCCCATACTGTGCATGGCCAGGGCAACTTCCTGCCCATATAGAAATGTTACCACTTTCCTGTCTTTGGTTCTGGTTTTCTTTGGCCAGTCCCACTAATCTGGAAAGGAATTTAAGTACCTTGTATCCCACCTATTTCCCTGTGCTTTTAGGAAAGATAGTTCCAACCAATGTAGGTCGACGGAAAATGGCTCAATTTAGTACCCCTCCCTGGGTGTTAAAAAATCAAGACATCTTCCAAGCTCTCAATTATTGTGTTTCAGGCTATTCTCTCAAGCTCTGTTTTAATTTCCTGTAGAAGTAGGCTTGTCCTTTCCTACTTACTTCACATGATTGAGAGCATCACAGAATGTTATAAATGTTTAGAATTTCGTGTCAAGCCTAGTGTTGCTTCCATCCTGCCTGCCACAACTGTGCATTTTTAATCAGAACATGGTTCTGGTTTCTTTCAAGCTTGTTTTAATTGAGCAGTGGGAGTAGTTGTAAAATGTGAGAGCAAAGGTCACAGTTTGTGGTTCTTGTCTTTCAAATGCAGAAGCTGTGGAAACATATCAAGCACAAGTATGAGAACCAGGAGTAGTTCTTTGCCTCCCGGGGGCCAGAAGGACCAGGTCTACCTGCTAGCTGTTTGCGAAGAGCCGGTGGGCTCAGCCTAAAGATGAGTCTGAGTTGCTCTTCACAGCCCACCTGTAGCTGTTGGCAAGAAATGGCTCCACCTAACAAACAGACTGTTTAACTTCTGCTGTGTTTGAAGTATGTTTAATTGGAGTTATCAGCAAATAAATGTAAATTATCCTTGAGACCTGCTGTTTGCATTGGGTGCTTTGTTAAGTCTGCCTGATCTTCACTTTTCGATTATTTGAGACCACATCAAAGCCCTCTGGAAACACCTAAAAGACAGACTCCATCCGCCATTTGGAGTCTCCCATTAACTTCCAATGAATTCTGGTTTTCAAAACTTGAGCCTAGTTGGAGATTTACCTTCAGCTTTGGCTTCTAATCTATATGAATGTCATTCTTAAATCACAAGTTTAACCTTTTTGGCTGTGGGGAAGCACTGTGGTGTCAGCTGGGTAAAAAAGCTTGGCCTGGGGGTCTTGAGCCAATCCCTGCCTCAGGCTTTTATGTCTATTCTGCCTTTTAACTTGCTGAATATCTTATGGTGAGCTGCCATACCCTCTGGGCCACAGCCTTCTTCCAGAGTGATGAGTTTGGTTTACCAGGATTAGTTGGTGGGTTTGAATCAAGAGCAAGCATTTGACCTTGCTGAACTTAATTCCTTATCTGTAAAATAGAGATTATAGAAATACCTACTACAGGGGGTTTTGTGAGTTTTAAAAGGAGTTGTAAGGCAGTTATATATCTGGCACATGGAGGAATGCCAGGAGACATGGACACATATACCCCTCCCCTTTGGTACTGGGGAATGAACCTAGGGCAGTGGTGGCACAAATGCCACAGCAGGCTGTTTGTATCATTGAAAGGTCACCATCACTGACCTAAGGCCTTTGCACTGAGCTAGACTCTCAGCCCTTTTTTCTGTATTTTATCTTTAGACAAGGTCTTGCTAAGTCACTAAATTGTCTAGGCTGGGCTTGAACTTGTGATTCTCCTGCCTCAGCCTCCCAGAATGCTGATATTACAGGTGTCCACCAGCATGCCCATTGTGATACATGGATTTTAAGGACAGCCCTAGCATTCTGCTTGAAGGTTACAGCAGTAGGAATGTAAGGAAGAGGGGTTCAGGGACCATTGTCTGGTCATTCATTCACCAAATGTATAGGGGTGCCACTGTGCTAGCCGGGCATGTGGTAGAAAACAGCATGTGGAGTTTTTTCCTATTGGGTAGATTCCACATTCCATAAATGTCATCTATAACAGACTGGGCCAAGGGCTTGGAGGAACAGTGCAAGGAGGGAATAATCAGGATTCCCTTAAAAAAGCCAAGATATGAAGGTCATAAATCTGAGCCATATAGGTTGGGTGTTGGAGGCAAAGCAGAGGAAGGAAGCAGCAGGTTTGTTTTGTTTTTTGGTACCGGGGATCGAATTCGGGTCCTTGCGCTTTCGAGGCAGGCGGCAGAACCACTGAGCTAAATCCCTGGCCCAGAAGCAGGAGGTTTGAAGGCCTCATGGTGGGGAAGACATTTGCTGTGAGGACCAAAAAAGGCCTGAATGGAGAGTGAATAGGACCTTATCATTCAAGACTTAGTCACACTGAATAATCTGGATTTTGAAAATTAAAGTGAGTAGGTACTGAAGATTTCTTAAGCAAGGGCTCTAACCAGGAGCACATCAACCTCCTAGGTAGCCTGTCACTCCCACTCACTTCTAATCTGATACCCTCACTGCTACTACAGTGGGTTTTTTATTGTTTTTATTTTGGGATGGTCTTGCTGGGGAGTTCAGGCTGGTGTTGAACCCACTGTGTAGCCCAGACTGGTCTTGAACTTGCAGCAATCCTCCTGCTTCAGCCTCCTGAGTGCTGGGATTACAGACATGCACCACCACACCCAGCAAAAGCAATGAACATTTGAAAAATGGTGGCTGCGGTGATAGCTGCGTCCTGGGATTCTCGGCTGCTAGGCCAGTCCTGCCTGCAGGTGGGGCGGCTTATGTCGAGTGGCGCCCACGGCCAGAAGGGCTCAGCTGGCATGTGGAAGGCCCTCACCTATTTTGTGGCACTCCCCAGGGTGGGAGAGAGCATGCTGAATGTTTTCCTGAAGTTGCACCACAGAAAGGAGGAGAGACATGAGTTCATTGCCTACCCCATCTCCGTATCAGGACCAAGCCCTTTCCATGGGGAGATGGTAACCATACTCTATTCCATAACCCTCATGTGAATCCGCTTCCGACTGGCTATGAAGATGAATAAAGAGAACCTGGACCATTATCTAGGCATTGGGGACCGAAGCTCTGATTTGGACCATTACTCATTCAGACCAGAAAAACATATGGGACCTTAAGCTCACCTTCCTTACTTGTATCAGATGATGACCATCGTACTGATCTTCCATCCCTTTGCTTGTGGCAAGAGATGGCTTAAATAAATAACTTAAACTCTGAAAAAAAAAAAAGGAATGAACATTCTTAGAGTTATTCTTTCTTAGCCAGCAGTTCATGATAGCAAGATTCAGGTGGAGCACATTCCCAAACTAAGACTGAGCCCAAGCAGCGAGTATATCCATCTGCTAGCCTACAGTTAAGATGCCCCATTATTTGTCAGTAGCATTTCTGGCCTATTATTGTGTATGTGTGTGTGTATGTTTCCTTTCAATAAGAGCTGAACATTAAAATAATAATAGCCAGGTATGGTGTGGTAGACGCCTGTAATCCCAGCACTCAGGCGGCTGAGGCAGGAGTGCTTTGAGTTTGAGGCCAGCCTGAACTGCATAGCAAGACCCTGACCCCCACCCCAATAATAATAACCCTATTTTTCCTATTGTCCCAGATTGAGTAATGTCCTCCCAAAATTGATGTCTACCTAAAACCTCAAAATGTGATCTTTTTAGGGCTTGGGGGTTAGTTCAGTGGCACTCCACCTGCCTTGCAAGCACAAGGTCCTGAGTTCAATCCCTGGTACTGGGAAAAAAAAAAAAAAGGAATGAAAAAAAATGTGGTCTTTTTAGAAATAAAGTCTTTGCAGATGCAATTAGTTAAGATGAGGTCATACTATTGGAGTAGGCCCTGAATCCAATGACTTGTGTCCTTATAAGACATACAAGGATGAAGGCCATATGAAGACAGACTGAAGCTGTGCTGTCACAGGGTACCAAATGCCAAAGATTCCCAGTAACCACCAGAAGGAAGGAAAGATTCTTCCTCTAAAATTTGAGAGGGAGACTGCTTCTGCTGAAGCCTTGATTTCAGACCCCTGGTCTTTATATGAGAATATATATTTCTATTTTCAGGTACCTAGTTTGTGGTAATCCATTACACTGGTCCTAGAAAACTAATATATCTATCAAGTTGACCACGCTTTTTTTTTTTTAGTTTTCTGAGACAGGGTCTCACTATGTAGTCCAGGTTGGTCTTGAACTCACTATGTAATCTAGGCTGGCCACAAACTTGTAGCAATCCTCCCACCTCAGTCTCTCAAGTGCTGGGACTGCAGGGGTGCGCCACTATGCCTGGCTGACCAAGCTAACAATTATCTAACTTTGTCAAGAATATGAATAAATAGCACTTATGTACTGCTGGCAGGAGTGGGAAAGTGCTGTCTCCCTGGAGGGTGTTCATGCCTAGGTATTGAGAATCTTAAGGGCCGGGGATTTAGCTCAGTGGTACCGCTGCCTGCCTTGCAAGCACAAGGACCCGAGTTCGATCCCTGGTACCAAAAGAAAAGAGAATCTTAAGCCAGGTGTGGTGGTTCACACCTATAATCCCTGTACTCTGGGAGGCTGAGGCAGGAGGATTGAAAAGTTTGAGTTTAGCCTGGGCAATTTAGCAACCACCTGTCTCCAAAAAAAAAAAAAGAAGCTGAAGGGGTGGGGCTGAAAGTGTAGCTCAGTGTGAAAGCCCTGAGTTCAGTTCCTGTCATAACACACACGACTTAATGTGCACATTTTTAACCCCCCAAAAATTTTCTACTGGCGGATCATGACTCCCACAAAAGTGCATGTCCACAACAAGAGATGTTCATCAAAGCGTTGAGGTGAAAGTGTTGCCTTATTATGCCAAATAGGTAACCACTTAAAACTATTTTTAAGTGTGAGAAAATATCCAACAAATATGGCAAAGACCAACTGTCTTAGACTTTTCATGCTGCTATAACAAAATACCATAAACAGTGGCTTATCAACAACAAAAATACGTTTCTCATACTTCTGGAAAGTGGAAGTCCAAGGTCAGGGAACCAGGGGCCAGGGATTTAGCTCAGTGGTTCCGACGCCTGCCTCACAAGCACAAGGTCCCAAGTTCGATCCCCAGTACCAAAAAAAAAAAAAAAAAGATTAGGGAACCGGCAGATTTAGTGTCTGAAAAGAGCCAACTTCATTATGTCCTCACATGAAGAAGAGACAAGACAGTGCTCCAGGGTCTCTTTCATAATCCCATTCATGGGCTTCACCCTTATGACCTAATTAAGGCAAAAGGCCTCACCGCCTAATGGCATCACACTGGGGACCAGGTTTCAGCATAGTTATTTGTGGGGGTTACATGCAGATCATAGCATTAACCTCACTAACGGAGGAAGCAGGCTTCCAAATCAGTAAGAAAAACACACCTAGGACTGAGGGATTAGCTCAGTATTAGAACACTTGCTTAGCATGCATGAGGTCCTGGATTTGATCCCAAATACTGTGCTAACATAGAGAAAAAAGTACATGACTAACTCAGTAGAAGCCAGGGGGAATGGATGAACAGGCGATTAAGACCGGAGACACAAATGATCACAAACATGAGAAGATGCTCAGTTTCATTCATTGCACTTTTGAGGCAGGAGGTGGAACCACTGAGCTAAATCCCCAGCCATTTCATTAATTAAAATAAAAGAAGACTGGGCCGGGGATTTAGCTCAGTGGTTCCACCGCCTGCTTTGGAAGCTCAAGGACCCAAGTTCGATCCCCGGTACCAAAAAAAAAAAGAAGACAAAAATACCATTTTTTGACCATCAGATCAACAAAGTTGATTTGGTAAAGGATCAGGCAATCTCCATGAGCATTAGAACAGTGGTTTAGCACTTTCACAATAGTTTATTTTATATTATGTTTGTGATGCAGGGGATTGAACCCAGGGCCTCACACCTGCTAAGCAAGTGTTCTACCACTGAGCTACATATCCAGTAACAACATGTATTTTAAAT